GCTTGCAAAGTTAAGCTTGACACTCAAGCAGCAAAAAATTTTAAAGAGAAAATTGATGATGAGTACAGAGTCAATATGTAAGTGGTGGTTTAAATTCACCCACCTTTTTGTGTAACAAAAATAGCTGGCATTTGGTGAAAATGCTAATATTTGAAAATCCATGCAGGATTTTGGATAATCTACCAGTAGCTGTACCTAGGCAAAGGCGAGATGAAAGCTCAGCAACAGCTTATGAGCATGGTTTTCGTGTTGGGTTCAAGGCGAATTATGCCGGAGTCAGTGTCTTGTCTGCCCATTCTTGAAGATTTATATGTTGTCAACAGTTTCTAACTGCAGGTATCTTCTTTTGCAGAGGCAGGAGGAGAAATACTTTATCCACAATCACTTGAGTTTCAGAGTAATGTATCATAGAGACCTCGATACTGATTCTGCTCGAATTGTGGGTTTTGAAGTTACTCCAATCAGGTTTTGGCAAATTTCGATTCATTGAGTTTGTCCTTAATTTTTTACTCCCTGTATTTGTAAATGGCTTGCAGAGGATTTATCTTGTATCTATTATTATTTTAATTGGTCTTTCAAATACACTCATTCTTATAGCATTAACCACGAGGTCAAGGAATGGAATGAGAAGAACCCAAAGGTGACAACATGTAACTCAAACACCAAGAACATACTACAGGGTGGAGCAATACCACAGGAAGTTGATAAGGACAAGGTGGTCATATTTACTTATGACGTAACTTACAAGGTACTTCCTTTGTGACCTAGATATTTGTTGCTTGCCTTATTTGGAAAATTTATGTTGTGCGTGTGTGTGTATGTGTGTTTCCCTTTCCCTTCTGATATAATTTAATTTCCTCTTTCCAGGAAAGTGAAATTAAATGGGCCTCGCGGTGGGACACTTACCTCCTAATGAACGATGATCAGATCCACTGGTTTTCTATCATCAATTCATTGATGATCGTGCTCTTCCTCTCGGGAATGGTGGCCATGATCATGATGAGAACCCTTTACAGAGACATCGCAAACTACAACCAGCTAGACACCCAGGACGAGGCCCAGGAAGAAACCGGCTGGAAGCTGGTGCATGGAGATGTTTTTCGGGCCCCCGTGAACTCTGGGCTGCTATGTGTTTACGTCGGGACAGGCATTCAGCTTTTCGGGATGACGCTTGTGACAATGATCTTCGCCTTGTTGGGCTTTCTCTCTCCTTCCAACCGTGGCGGGCTCATGACGGCTATGGTCCTTTTGTGGGTCTTCATGGGATTATTTGGTGGCTACTCGTCCGCCCGTCTCTACAAAATGTTCAAGGGCACGGAATGGAAGAGAAATACACTAAAAACGGCCTTCATGTTCCCTGGCATCCTTTTCGCTGCCTTTTTCGTGCTGAATGCCCTCATCTGGGGAGAAAAATCGTCTGGGGCTGTGCCATTCGGGACGATGTTTGCTCTCGTTTGCCTGTGGTTTGGGATATCGGTACCCTTGGTGTTCGTTGGTAGTTACTTGGGTTTCAAAAAACCTGCAATTGAGGATCCCGTTAAAACCAACAAGATCCCGAGGCAAATACCGGAGCAGGCCTGGTACATGAAGCCAGTGTTGTCCGTGCTCATCGGGGGTATTCTCCCCTTCGGGGCCGTTTTTATTGAATTGTTCTTTATATTGACATCCATCTGGCTGAACCAGTTCTATTACATTTTCGGGTTCTTATTCATAGTGTTTGTGATTTTGATAATCACTTGTGCCGAGATTACTATCGTCCTCTGCTACTTCCAGCTGTGCAGTGAGGACTACAATTGGTGGTGGAGGGCTTACCTGACTGCCGGGTCCTCGGCTTTGTACCTTTTCCTCTACTCGATTTTCTACTTCTTCACCAAGCTGGATATCACGAAGGTCGTTTCTGGCATTTTGTACTTTGGGTATATGCTGATTGCGTCTTATGCTTTCTTTGTGCTGACGGGGACAATCGGCTTCTATGCCTGCTTCTGGTTCGTTCGGAAGATTTATTCCTCCGTGAAGATCGACTGAGGTTAGAAATGGAAATAAAGAAGTTTCTTGGATTCTTGATGTATGGATTGTTGTGGAGAAAGTCAATCACCCCGCGGGCTGTCGAAAGCATAAGAAGCGACGACTTTGTAGTTTTTTTTTTCGCCTTTCATTTACGAAAGCTAGATGTTTACTTTTCTTGATTTTTCATATCAATGTAAAAGTTTTGTGACTTTTATTTGAGATAGACAAGCGCTTGAAGCACAGATGGTAGTTTGTCTTTTGAGGCCTTCATCATCGCTACTGAAGCAATTGCAGCTTAATGAAATTCTGTTCCTCGTCTTTTTCTGTACAACGGTCTGCTTGATGAAGTTATTGGCTTTTATTGCATTTCGTTCCGTACTTGGTTTATGATTATGATCGAAACCATTTAGATTTGAGTTGATTGTTGATTCAAGATTCGAGTTCATTTTTTGACTCATTTGATTGTGTTCGATCACTTGGATATATACTTGTGAACGTGTAAAGACTAGAACATGCTTGGTTATAAGAATTTCTTTCCAAAAAACAAAAAAAAAAATTAATTATTTTTAACCAATCTATTTTTTTTTAAAATTTAAATTGAACCAAATTTTTATCTCTCATACTTAAACATTAACTTTAATTTACTACTATTCATCAATTCACATAATTTTAACTAATTATCATTTCACATTAACTTTAATTTACTATTCATTCACTCACATAATTTTAACTAACCATCATTTCGCATCATCTCTCTCGTTTTTACGTCAAATCAACTTGAATTATCTTATTTTAAATATTGTTTAAATATAAACTCAAAATCTTACTAATAGCTAATCTAATTTACTATTCATTCACTCACATAATTTTAACTAACCATCATTTCGCATCATCTCTCTTGTATTTTTACGTCAAATCAACTTGAATTATCTTATTTTAAATATTATTTAAATATAAACTCAAAATCTTACTAATAGCTAATCGTACCTTATTTTTTAAAATTAATAAAAAATAAAAATAAAAAAATCCAAACAAATAATAAAAATCTTATAACCATGCATACCGTAGGATATTAGTCCATTCACCCCCAACTTTGAAAGAAGTGAATCTACAATTTTTTTTAGCAAAAATTCTAATCCTTTTTTTCTGTTCTTCTCTTCTTCTGAAACTGGACTTAATGTTGTTAAATTAAACGAGCTTGACTCGGCTCATTAAAGCTTGAGTTTGGCTCGAGCTCGATCTTATTTAAAGTTCGTTCGGTAAACAAATCGAGCTCAGCTCGACTCGATAAGGCACGAAAAGAGAATTTTTATATAATTTTCTATAGTTTTACTCATTAAAGCTCGAGATTGGCTCGTTAAGGCTTGAGCTCTTAACAAGCAGAAGACGAGTTCGATTTTTGACTCGTTTATTTAACGAGTCGAGCTCGGCTCGTTAAGGGCTCGAGCTCGAGCTCGGCTCGCTTACAGACCTAACTGCGCTATCATTAAAGAAATATGTTTAACTACAAAGAATCAAGAACCAAGTTCTTTTGATACATTTTGGTATATATGAACTTGAAATAAATAAAAGTTTTTTTTTTTCTTTATTGAAAGAGAAAAGAAGTAGAAGTAGACTGTAGTTGATCTTCATAAATTGTAGGATTTGAACCAAGGAGTTCTGCATATTGGTATCTAAACTGGAAACCGAAAGAAAACAAAATTGGGTCCGGTCGGGCCCGGAATCAAAACCGGTGAGCCAAGCTCTCCAATGGTCAGATTTTTAAAATCGACCATTGGAGATCCAATGGCTAACGTTGATCTTAACCGTGTGGGCCGCCAATTCGGCCTTGCACCAGCGATTCACCAAAACAAAAATAGACTTTTTTTTTTCCTATAAATACCCCTTTAACTTCTTTAGTTATACACCGAATTATCATTCCTTTTTTCTTCTATAATCTCTTCAATACTCTTATTCTTTAGCTCTCGGGTCATTTCTTTCATTTTTCTCACTTTTTTTTAGTTGTTATTAGAAAAACTGATTGTAAGTTACAAAAATGTTGAATTCTCGTGGTGAATGGTCACAAAAGCGAAAGTGTGTAGCATCTACAATTAGTCATCTATTGCCGAAGCCGACAATGCATCTTGATGTCCCGGGCGTCCCCGTTGAATTATCAACCAGGAAGGTCGAACACATGTTTCAAACTATAAATGATATCTTGTTTCGCAAGTCACTGATAAAATGATCTTCTATTCACCCGATACTGAACCATTTTATCTAATTACAAACCAATAGAATATAAACTTGTTTAATTAAACATGATTCCCATTCAAACGAGTTCAGCATCTAAAGTCAATCTTTCAGTATATACACCAACAAAAAGTCCATATAATAAGTAGTACGAATAATCCAAAATATTTCTTTTTACAATTACAAGGGTAAATAACACAAAGAGCTAGCACTTATGAACAAGCATTCGAATACACAATCTTTGACAATTTGATCAATAAAGCTGACAAAAAGTTATGAAGAATATTAAAATGCAGATGAATGAAAAATTACAGATTCAACGTAGGCGAGAGCTGAAAATGCAACGTAGGTGCTTAATCCCAATTCTTGATCAATTACAATAACATAGAAAAAAATGGTGTTCCTTTTATTGTACTATATTTGCCACCTACCCGAGAGTGCTTGCCGAATTTGAACGTCGATGCCTTGGTCTTGATGTGTAAAATGTGATGTGCTTGGATTTTCTACTTTGAGCGAGCTCC